AGCACAAAAGTCATGCGTATTGAAAATAACAAATAAAGAGGGTATACATGACCAGTTGCATTATAGTAAATTAAAAGGATTCGTGTTTTCTTCATTTCTGCAGGCTTTGTGTGCTATGAGCGTTTTACACAGCAAAAGGAATAAAACCTCTTCTCCTTTAGAACGAAAGCTTCAAGTGGTTGATACTTACCTCCTTTAACCTCAGACATTTTCATTGACGAGCTCCTCCTCTGAGAATTTGAGAATTGCTTTCAACCAAAGTACCAAGCTCCCGTGTTTAAAATTTTAAGTAAGTTTCAGGATATCCTTCGCATCACAAATATCGTTAAGCTTAATTTTATTTTATGCTTACACAGGAGAATCGTGATGCACATGTATGCAGTCTTTTGTTTGAAATCTGTGGAAATTCGTGCAATTCTATATGCTGTTATACTTTTAGTAAAGTACTTTTTTCTTAGTTTGATCCTCCTTTTCTGTGTGTAAATCTTTAATAAAAGGGATATTAATAGCAGCGGTCAGGTGCTAAGAGAAGGAAACAGATGGCTTTTCCTTCTTACCATGAATCAGCAATAAATGAAGGAGTTTCAAAAACGATTAGTAAAGAAAGGAGAAATGTGATAAAATTCGCGATGCTTAAAGAATCATACGAGGAAGAAGAATCTTTTTGGGTGCAATATTTGAATACAATGAGAAAGTTTCCATTGTTTTGATTGTTTAATATTAATGCTTTAGTATGATATTTGTTTTTAGGTAAGATCGTTCTGGCAAGTGCTTGGCTGTAGCAAGTTCATAACCAGGCTAATTTTCTTTATTCAAATATATATTGATGGCCGCTTTTCACAGCTTGAAATATCATTTTTCGAAAATGTTGTGATTGCGTCTTTCTTCATGTGGTTGAAAAAAATATGCTTCGTTGAATCATAAAATTTTATTAATAATTTTTAGTTTTTTGATGGATAGTTCAATTTTGAGACATACACTTTAAAACAGAAAAGCAAATTTGTGTCTATGCCTTTGGCTGCTTAAAATTAGCGAATTCGTTCCTGAGGACGCCGCTTAAATGATTTGAACTAATTGCCGACGTCCTTTTATTGTCTTCTTATTCTTAGTGCTGACGATAAAGTTGTTCTGTTCACGGCTATACTGGCACTTTACAATGCGGGTTTTAAAAAAACTTACGCAGAATCGAAAATACAGAGCTAGATCACATACATACATATAAAAAATAAAAGTTTTATATTGATCTTCTATTCCTTTTAGTGATTTATTGGTGTTAGCTGGTCTTGTCATATAGGCAACGCCATTTTCCAAGGAAAGTTCTCTCCGTGCAACCTTTCCTTAACCTTTTAGACGCACCAAGTTATTCGAGATGAAGCTGATGAGTGGGCAGAGCGTTGTTGGTAGCATTGGGTATCGTGAAATGTAGTTATAAAATACGGCGTTTCCAAATCACCATTTTGACCTCGATTAAAATCGTGCGGCTCAGTACAGATTTCGTGACATTTTTGAACCTTTTTTCTATTTTTCATGGAGTAGATAATGCGCATTTAGACATTTTTACAATAATTAGACTTGATCATGTGGTTATGTATTCTTCGAACCTATTGCTTAATTCCACATCGAAGGATTGTAATGGCTAGGTCAATTTTGTTCAAGTTCCTTTCAACCGGGAGGCGGAAGGGAGGGGGTCGTATTATACAGGCTAGAGAAGAACGAGGTTGCTTTTCTCAGTGACCTAACGCACGAATTGGACTAGTTGATGAAACAGGATAGAACTATCCAACTCATAAACTACTCTTAAGATATCAAAATCTCTTAAGCATATT